CTGCTGAACTGCTGTTCCTCAAAAATACTACAATGATTTATGACAGCTGGGTTTAATTGAGAAACTCCTTTGTCAAACAGTCATTCCCCTATTTGAAAGAGGCCATACAAATGTTGTTTCTTTTGGGGTGGTGGCTTCTTTCTTTGCCAGCCCAGGTACATATATCATTCTGTTACCCTTCCATTTCTGGAAATATCAGCTATGCACAGTTTTCACAAGAGGATCAGCTTCATAAATTCTATATATATAGTTCTTATTTCATGGCTGAGCAGCTCTGCTTTGTATGGAGCAGATCCACACTCCTCCTGTAACTGAAAAGGTCGTGGGATTTTCTTAGAGGGAGAACAAGGCATAGGGAAGGAATATCACATTTCTAAGAAATATATGGTTCATAATGTTGACAAAAGCAACAGAAAACCCTGAGGGGAAAGAAGCAATTTCATAAAGGTGAGATGTTGCACATTGACCTTTTTGGAAAGGAGAAGTTTCAGGTTTGCATGCCAAAATGAAGTTTTGGTCAGGTTTACTTTCAAAGGAAAGCTAATTTGGAAAAATTCCAGTTGAAAGGAAAGTTCTTCATTTGTTTTATTCATTTTGCTATTTAAAACAAAACCAAACTCATTAAATTCCTCTCAAAAAGTAAAATCTTGTCACTAGCCAGCAGTGACAAGAAATATGGAAAACTGGAACTGCCAAATGCAGTCTTTCCTAATCAAGATAATTTTTTACCTCCCCCATCTCACAGGCAACAGTGGTTGCTCCACACACACAACTGCAGCACCTATATGTGCTTACCCTCCCACCTGTCTGCATGAGGAGTTTCTCTTATCTTCTGATATGCTAAGAGGGACGTGGGGCACCCCGTGAGCCTGGCAGTGATTTGCAATCAAATGAAACAATATCAGTTGTTGGTAAAGGTCACCCTGGGGCCTCTCCTGACCATGCAGCTTTGATACCTGCCCTATTAGTATAGCCTCATGCTATAATTCCCTCCTGTTAGCACAGGAATGGAAATTCAAATATGTTGCAGAAATCCAGTCACAAACAGTCTGACTGTCAAAATGGAGAAGGAAAAAAGTAATAATATACTGAGAATGCAACTCTCGATCTTGCAAGAGCAGCAGTCTTCTTTCAGCTCAGGAAGGGTCCTTCAACACTGATGGTTCAACACTGACCAGAGCCAGGGAGTACCACAAAATAACTGGAGAGCAGTGCCCTGCCTTTGCCTGCATCACGGTGGGGGTCGTTTCTCTTCCCATCCTCCTGGGAGAAGAGAGCTGCTCTTCTCTTTCTACTTCATCATCTCCAGCTTTTTCTTGAGGGGATCCTGGCTGCTTCAGGTCTATTTTCTCATGAAGATGGAAACAAATGACTCTGAGCCCAGTGGCATGCTTGCCTGGCTGTGGATTGCTGAGCATATGTGCCAGCACAATAACCACTCTTTAAGGCATGAGCTTCCTCTCCTGCTCTGGGAACATGGCATGCCCTGGCATTTAAAACTCCCCTTCACACTTTTCAGTGTGGAAATAGCCATCCAGTTAAACCGGAGAGAGGAGAGAGTGACCCCCAGCCATGTCCTCCAGAAGGAGGACCTCTCAGCTGTCTCTCTCGCCTCTGCAAGTTTAGAACTGGTATTTGATTATGGCCTCGTTCCAAACTTACAGCTTCTGCCCCCAAACCCTCAGATGAGCTCCAAGCAGGAATTAACTAAAAAGGGCAGCTCTAATATGACAGGTTTAGAAAAGGTAGTCTATATATAGGTGCTGTCATTGATTTGCAAATACAAGTCAGTTGTTATGAAAAAGCACTGAGTATAAGCAATATCTCAAATATCCTTAGAGCACCTAAGAGGAAGATATTTGAGAACACTGTAGGTAATATCTGCTATAGAAGCAGAGACATTCCAAAAAGAAAAAAAAAAGCCGTAACTATAAGGAGCACAGTAAACAGTATGCTGCAGGCAGTCGGGAATGACTGCGACCAAATGACGGAAAATCAAAAAATTGACTAAACAAAGCAAGACTAAAGCCCAGAGATGGCCAAATCTGAATATCAAA